TCGAAAGCTGATCCCTGAATCCCTGAATAAATTGTACAAATCGTACCACTATAGCATATACATAGCTGCCATACAAATTGAACAAGTGAAATTAAGTCCATATATAGAAAAATTGTTTACTTAACGAAGTATCTTCACGAAAATTCGTACAGATTGTTTTACAAGSCAGCGCTACTATATCCAAAGAAATTGTTTAGATCGGACTAAATAAAAAATAAAATTAAATTCTTGTATGAAAAACTTTCTTATTTAACAAAGTTTGCTCTTGAAATTTGACAAAAATTGGTTTCCAAGACAGCACTATGAAATCTGAAAAGAAAATCCAGATCGGACTACTATAGCATATAGCTGTCATACAAACTGAGCRAACAAAATTGATTTCCAAAGAAACTGCTTTATATGTGAAGGGTATACTAGCTCAGGTGCAGAAGCAGCTAACGTATTTTATTTTTTTTTATTGTTTTTCTTCTTTTATTTTATTTTTTTATTTATTTCCACATTTCGTATTTGGCTATAAATTTGACCAAGCATGTATTTTCGATTAAATTACTGCATAAAATAAATAAACGTTTCACATTGTTAATAATGTATGACTCTAAGCATGCATGTATGTATGTGTATGCGTGCCTACAAATTTAAATGGTTTTCCTTGATGCTCTTTTGCGTTTCTCCCCTTAATTTCGCAGCTATTTAGCCGCGTTTGATTTCATTGAGCAGTTATGCTTTCAAGTGCAATGAGTWGTGAGTGCTTTTCGTTTGGGCTATTTGTTGTTGTGCATACCAATGAATTTATGTATGTGTGCGTGTATGCGTGTAACTATCATTTTTTCGGCTTTGCGCATTTTTGCCGCTTTTTCTGGTTCTGCGGAAAAGTGCCAATGGAGAAATTGATCACACTACCGTTGTAAATAAATKCTTGATTAGCGTTTTATACTTTTATGTTTTCGTTATTTCACTCAATTTACCATTAAATTTGATTTGGATAAAATCATTTGACAAGTTTTTCGCCGCATTTCTAGTTTYTTGCGTGGCTACATATCTAAGCTGATGGCATAAAATCATTGATAACCACTTAAATGATATTTGAAATAGGAATTAGGGTGATTGCAATTAAAAAAAATTTAATTTGCAATGCATGTGGCGGGGAATTTTTGCAACTATTTTTCTGTGCGAAAATGTAATACAAATGAATGATAATATTAAAATTATTATTAATATAAGCAAAAACACTTTGTTGCATAAAAACTTTATATACTATATTTTTTATAAAAAAAACAAGTTTTTTCAAAAAGTATCCTTTAAAAAATATTTAATTAAATATTAATAGTACGCTTTATTCATTTAGACATTCTGGTTTCCCTTTTTTTATAAAAATTGTGACAGCTATGAGATGGAAATTGTAAATAGAATTCACATGTTTTAAATAAAAAAAGGCTCCACTTAGTAAAACTTTACACTAATTGATCAATATTATTAAAGCTTCTTTGATGATTTATGGAAAATAAACGTTTTTTGAAATTCCATCAATGAACTGTTAACAGAGTTTGAGCGCGATTTAAAATTGTGCTCGACAAATTAATTTGATATATGATATATATATACTGGGTGACATTTTCAGTAGCCTTTTTTTGACTGATCGCGCATGAGTCATGTCAAGCTATCATGTTATTTTCCCTCAGTATTGTTTTGCATTTCATCATGGAAAGACCTACCACTGAGCAAGGTTTACAAATTGTTCAACTTTAGTACGAAAATTCACGTTCTCTAAAGCATGTATAGTATCCGTATATCACGTTCAGCGCRCATTGAAGAAAAAATAGCAGTCGTAGCAGAGAGTGTACACGAAGATGATGTAGAATCAACTCGGCGCCGTTCGCAACAACTTGGACTGACGCATGAAACGACTTGGCGCATTTTAATTGAAAGCGTACAAAATACAGCTTGAGCAACGACAAAAGCCACTGGGCTTTCCCACGCGATATCATTTCGCTCTATGGGCTCTTGAATAGTTCCAAGAAGGTCCGAAGTTTTCAAGTTGAATTGCAAACAAGCAAAATTTCCTCATTTGGATGCTCTTCGTTCCAGAAAGAAAGAAAATCAAGAGCTGCCATTTCATCTAGAAAAACCAACGGTTTGGTGCGATTTGTGAGCCGGTGGAATCATCGGTCCATACTTTTTTTTTTTTTAAATCATATCGATGCCGATGACGATGAACACGTAATCGACAATGGCGACTGTTATTGTGCCATGATAAACGACTATTTGATGCCTGAAATTGAAGCTCGTTATCTTGGCTACATTTGCTTTATCATTCAATGGATTTGTTGAGAGAGCATTTCGGTGAGCAGATAATTTCACGTTTTGGGCCGGCCAAGTCGCCACCTGGATCGTGTGATATCAAACCGTTGGTATTTTTCCTGTAGAAATATATGAATTCCAAAGTCTATGCGGACAAGTGGYCTTAGTTCAAAACATATTCAGCATACAAACCTCTTTGCATGCTCGATACGTCCGAAAACCTTCAGAAAATATTATTGAAATCCCACGGCATAGCCGCTATAAGCAGTAGTGAAGCCCCATCAGAGAAACAACATGGCTTCTGAGYAGGCAGGTCCACGATCGGAGCCGTTAAAAGGGTTATGCGTAGCTTTAAGGAAGCCCATCGAAGAACAACTTCTCGAGTACATTAACCCTCCTCGCAACAGCAGCTATAAGGAATGCGTTCGAAATGGGCAAAATGGATCAGTATGTTAGATGAACTTGAAATCCGATCCAAAACGAACTCCCGCTTAATGGAAATTATACGAATCTATCTTAAATACTTGCGAACTTCTATACGATAGAAGTGACGACCCTCAACAAAAGGAAATACCCTTTAGAACAGAACCTATGGAACGTCAACTACGATGGAATTTTACACGTCGAAATGCCACAMGAATGCCACCTCGTAGGTTACGCGGACGACATCGCGGTCGTCACAACCGCTCGTAATACCAACATCGCCAAACGCGAACCAACACCAGTTGTGATGCGAGCGCAGACACTCACACGGCCTGTTCATGGACACAACACAATCAGTACTATTATTTGGTAGTGAAA